TGGCATAGAGAGTCTTAGAAGTGTCCTTAGAATGTTTTTCAGATAGGCTAATAACTAGGTGTTTCTGTTTTAGGTCAAGATGACGAGGACTGGTGGTAACAATGTGAGTTCCAGTAATGAGAATGCAAAGGCCTTTATAGAATTCTTCTAGACACTTGGGGCCATGACTCAGGTCATGAAAGACTATATGCCGACCCCAGCTAGGCCTGCCCCAGACCAGGCAAATAGTGGTCTAATCGAGAGAGTTAGGAAGCTAGCACCTCCAGCGGTCTTAGGGCATGGGGGAATAGAGAAAGCCGAAAGATATAAGAGGTAGGTGGAAAATATTCTGGATGTTTTGCACTGCTCGGATGAGCAGAAAGTCAGATTGGGAGCATTCATGCTCAAAGGGGCAGCTGAACATGGTGGAATTCTGTAAAACAGTCCTGGAGGGAGTCGAGATTGAGGCCACTTGGGAGAACTTCCTAGTGGCATTTGATGAAAAATATTTTCCTGATTCTATCCGGTAGAGGAAAGAAGTCGAATTTATTGAGCTGCAGCAAGGGAGGCTGATGATAGAACAATATGCAGCCAAGTTCACAAAGCTCTCTTGGTACGTGCCCCATATCATCAATACAGAGGCGCATCAGGCAAGCAAGTTTGAAAGGGGCCTCTAGCCAGATATCAAAGGGAGAGTAATATCAGCCAACCTTAAGTCGTTCTCCCCATTAGTAGACCTCGCTATGAAGATTGAGAGGAATTTCGGTTGAGGAAAGAAGGGGGAGTAAGGTCCTCACCGTCCGGGAATTTTGGGAGGAAGACTCGGCCGCCTCCAAGGAGGGATGTTAGGGGAAGACCTAGTCAGGGTAACATGAAAGCTCAAGAGACCTTTCTGAGTGATGTGAGGGAGAATCGGCTCCTGGCCTACTCATATTGTGGAGGGAGCAACCACTTCGCTTCAGAGTGCTATAAGAAATCAAAAACATGTCTTAGGTGTGGAAAGCCTGACCACTGGATCAAGGACTACACCCTGGTAAAGCTGGAGAACCGACTAAAGACTCAAGATCGGGTATTTGCACTTACAGAGCAGGAGGCCAAGGCATCTACCTCGGTGATCAGAGGTACGCTCTTTGTTTGAGGTAGAGAAGCTAAAATCTTGATTGACCCTGGTTCCTTTTTGTTGCACCTCATTTTGCATGTCATCTACATATTGAACCTTCATGTCTTGACTATACTTAAGTTGTGTGCACACCTATAGGGGGTTCTATGGAAACTGATAGGGTATACAAACAGTGTGAAGTTTGTTTGAGAGGTGTGACTTGCCCATGGACCTGATACTTTTAGATATTCAGGATTTTGATGTTATTCTAAGCATGGATTGGTTATCCGCACACCATGCTACTGTTAACTGTTATGATAAGACTATGACCTTTAGACACCCTAACCAACCTGAGCTGCACTTTGTTGGTATCAAGGGTGCTCCCCGTCTACACTTTATTTTTGATCTTCGGGCTTCCTGTACTATAGCTAAAGATGTGTTGGATACTTAGCCTACATAGTAGAGAATCGGGACATTCAGTCCAAGTTAAGAGAGATACCAGTGGTAAGAGAATACCCAAAAAATTTTCCTAAGGAGTTGACGTCCTTGCCTTCAGTAAAGAAGATAGAGTTTGAGATAAATGTGGTCCCTGACACTGCTCCCATCTCTAAAGCCCCATATAGGATGGCCCCAACATAACTGAAATAGTTGAAAGAACAATTGCAGGAATTGTTACAGAAGGGGTTCATCCGATCTAGTGTATCGCCTTGGGGTATACCGGTTCTTTTTGTAAAAAAGAATGATGGGTCCATGAGGCTTTGTATAGACTATAGGCAGTTGAATCAAGCAATAATGAAGGACATCTATCCCCTGCCTAGAATTGATGACCTCTTTGACTAGCTTCAAGGGGCCTCACTACTCTTTAAGATTGATCTCCGATCAGGTTATCATCAATTATGGGTCAAGGAAGATGTCCCCAAGACTGCATTCAGAACCTAATATAACCATTATGAGTTTTTAATAATGACGTTTGGACTGACTAATGCCCCAGTCGTCTTCATGGACCTAATGAATAGGAGTTTTTATTGATGATATTTTGGTATTTTCAGAGCCTATAGGAGCATGAGCAGCATTAGAAAGTGGCTTTAAAGTCAGAGAAACTGTATGCCAAGTTGAGCAAGAGTGAGTTTTGGCTTCCTAGTGTGGCTTTTCTTGGACACATTGTTTCTAAGGACGTGGTTGCTGTCAACCTTTTTAGGATTGAACCCATACTCAAATGGGCAAAACCGACAAATGTGACAACATCTGTTGTTGTCACGACCCCACCCCCTGACCCCTATCGTACTTGTCAGAGGGCGATAGAGTGCGGGATCATGACCAGAGGTCGCGAACGTCACTCAGGTGGGAGTGGCTCAACGCGTTTAGAAATGCAGAATCAAAGCAAACCACGAAAGAAAATAAAATTCATTCATCATGCATCATAAAACTGCACAAATTAAAACCATTATATACATATACAATCTTCAAAGGTTTTTTACAATTCTGTCTAAGGCACTGCCGGCCTGACAACAAAATTACAATATTTCATCAAGACAACATTGTGGCACCTCCACCTGATACCTACTATAAAAAAGTTCCTTGTCAAATCTTGAACTTCAACCGCCTGCCTTCATTGTCCAACTGCCCCCTCAAGAATAGTGGGTTATCACTCTCACGGATGAAAAAATAAGGAGGAGTAAAAAGCCCAGTAAGTGGATTAGTACTATTGCATTCCCACAAATATGCACACACATAAGATGATGTGGCCCGCAGATCATCACAGTTCATGCGAGTCACAGGGTAAAGTCATGCACCACAATTCGTTACCAGTGTAAAACGAAGTATGATTCAGATATCAGACAGTACATATTGTTTGAGCTAATAGTTATTTCACCTCTTATCACAAGAAAACATGTCAGTACCCAGAAAGAACATACAAAGCACACAAGCAAAGTCTAGAGTTGTCTACTCCCGAAGTAGAAGTCACATTGATTAGCCCAAGCCAATCCTGTAACTTAGAACTTCTACCCTCATTCAGGAGAGAGGACAATGGCAAATGGAGGCCCCATTTTGTAATGTCCTCACTCATACACACAATCCCCAGTGCGCTTTGAAGTTTTCGATAGGTGGTGTCCTTGCAAGACATGACCCCTCTCCTTATGCCTTCAGGCGAGAGGGCGTTACACTACCATTGGAGGAACCAATGCGTAGTGCCTATAACAATGTGGGGGACGCGACCCTCCCTGTTATTTACACTCACTTCCTGACTTCATTCCTATCATTGGAGTCGGGGCACAATCTATCCAATTACCAATGGAGGACCCATTGCGTAGTGGTCATGTCACATATACCAATCTCAATATAACAAAATCACGTTATCCAACTACCAATGGAGGATCCATTACGTAGTGGCCAATATCACATATAGAAAATAGGATCACAGTATCCAATTCCAAATGGAGGACCTATAGCGTAGTGGTCATATCACATATATCGGTCTCAATATAACATAATCACAATAACCAACTATCAATGGAGGACCCATTGGGTACTGGTTAGTATCACATATAAATAACAGGATCACAGTATTCAACTATCAATGGAGGACCCATTGTATACTGGTTATGTCACATATATCAGTCTCAATATAACATAATCACAATATCCAACTACCAATGGAGGACCCATTACGTAGTGGTCATGTCACATATATCGGTTTCAATATAACAGAATCACAATATCCAACTACCAATGGAGGACCCATTGCGTAGTTGTCATGTCACATATAGATAACATGATCATAGTATAACAATCATATCACATTTAATTGCACTGTGTACATGCATGATCAAGCGTTTATTAATTGTTGCATGTTTTTGTAATGAACTGTTACATGTTGTAATTGCAGAGAATTTCTAGAACTGTTACATATTTTTGTAATGAACTGTTTACTGACCAAATCATGTTCAAATGAGCTCAAACCACTTTTGAATGAAAGATGAGTGAGTCTATTTTTTAAATCAGCTTTGGAACCATACGGAATTCTCTGTAGTCTGGAAACTATGCTAAAAAAGATGGGTTGTGCTCACTTCTCAAACCAGCAAAATACTTTGAAATGTTATAAATGAGCCTGATTACTTGTATTTTGCTCTGAACATGTATGTGTGCATTAAATGTATGCTTTGCAGTGATAAGAATCTGTTATGATAGGAATCTACTCTTATAAGGATCTGTTTTGATAAGAATCTGTTCTGATAAAAAGGATCTATTCTGATAAGAATCTATTCTGATAAAAATGTATTATGATAAGAATCTGTTACGATAAGAATCTGATCTGATAAGAAAGTTGTACCGGCGGTTGAGATATTTTTTCCCTAACTCCCTACTATAAGATGGGAGTTTAGATGATTGTGTGTGATGGGTTGGGTCGCACCCCCCAAATTTTTGTTTGAGGCACTATCCATTAGAATCCCCTTTGGTAGTGTGATGCCCTCTAGCGGAGATGCATAGAGATGGTCGTGTCTTGTAAGGCCTATGGCTATCAAAAGCCCCAAAGCGCGCTAGAACTGTGTGTGTGAAGGTATTATAAGTGGATTCTCCCACTTATCATTATCTTCCCTCCTAAGTGATGGTAGAAGTCCTAAGCAATATGATTGGCTTGGCCTGATGGATAGAGCTTCTACTTCGGGAGTAGGCGAATTAAGGAGTGAGTTGGTTAATGCTTCCTAAATGTTGCTTATACTTATTAGGCTTGTTGAATTAAAGTTTGATGCTCGTGATTGAAGGGTTTGATAAATGGCTTATTCATATGATATCTGTATTGGAATTGTTCATCCTTGAAAATAATCATTCATGATACACTGTTATATATTATTGTAACACATGGTATCTAGATCTACTTATTGGGCTTTATAGCTCAATCCATTAACTTCCATCATTGTAGATTGATAGCAGCAGGTCAAGGACCGGTGGCACAAGGACCGCGACTAGTGGTTGAAGCCATGTTATTTTGTTGAAGTTTTTGTCTATTGTATGTTTCAGATTGGCAGCTTGGCCATAGTTTTTTTTTAATTCTAGAAGTTATGTAATGAATTGGGCCTTTGATGTCCGGAACTCTTTTGTAACGCTTTAGAAAATTTATGTACAATGTATTTGCAATTTGAGGACTAGGTTGTCCAATTTTTGATGTACTTGTGTGTGTGTTGTGGAAGTTTTGTTTTCTTTCGTGGTTTGCTTTTATTACTATTTTTCTATGGCTTTGAGTGCACTTCCACCTGAGTGGCATTCGCTACCATGGATCACGGTCCCGCACGCTGTTGTCCTCCAACAAGTATGGCAGGGGCCAGGGGGTGGGGTCATGACAATCACAAGACATGTACAAATGATAATCCTATCAGGTAAGCAAACCACATTTAAAAGTGAAGTATGCACTGTGCGAGAGAGTACCCCTATACACCATAGAGTTGCAGTCCCATCATGGTTTGGGAGACCATGGATTTGTTTCTAGGGGAGAACCTATAGTCCATATATTGGGATTGTATCCCCTAGCCAATAGCTGACTTTGGTGGTCCTATCGTAAACTCATGTAATAGTCTGTAGGTCATGAGAGCTGCTAGGTCAGTTTGAGAAAGCTAATGTGAATCACAGTCCACAGTTGAAGGTGGTAGCATTCTTTATGGAAATTCAGCATCTGCCATTCCTTTATGGTAGGGTCCAGTGATCAGTGTGCATCCGTACAGTATGATTTAAATTCAATGTATGTTGCGAGGGATATGGAAGGTGAGGTGATATGGGAGGTTCAGATTGATGGCGTGTTTTCGTTGAGATCAGCTTACATGCAGTTGTATAATGATAGATAAAGATTTACTGCACTCTAAAACGGGGCTGTTATGGTCTAAATTTTGGATCTCCAAGGGGGAGGATAAGATAACTTTCTTTTTATCTTGAGCTATGTTGTCTCAGTGTTGAGAACACTACTCAAGATAAGAAAAGATCGTAATTTAAGGAAAATAATCTCAAAGGGAGATTGCACCAAATCAATTTGATATTTGATAACTCAGCATCCTCTTCATTAGCTTCTTCACGTTCTTAAATATAATAAAAGATACCTACTTGGCTATACTATCTCTTATTTAGTAGCCATGATTAACAACAACTAACTCCTACTAAGTAATAAGTGATTCTAACAACAACTAACTCCTACTAAATAGCAATTGACTCTAACAACAACTAACTCATACTAAATAGCAATTGGCTCTAATGTTAACCTTAAACTCCAACCGCTAAACTTGACTTGTTCAATTCAACTAGCTATCCCTATTTACCAGGGATTAACAATACCCAACCATGAAACATGGCTTACATATGTGGGAAACAAAACAAAAAATAAATTTTTATATCAATCCTCCCCTCTTTGACGAACCTTGTCTTCAAGGTTAACTTCTAAAAAAATTTATTGGATATTTGCAAGCAACTCCCATAAAGGAAAACCATTGCTTGTCTAAAACCAAACCGTTTAAAGCTTTTACTAAAGAGTTGTTTGCACTGTTTGAAAAATCGGGCGATCTACTTGCTAACCGATCGGTTCGATTTTAGTGATCGATCGGTATTTACTATATTTATATATATATGGGAAAGATCATGTGCGTTTAGGTGTGTACTACTACAGTAAATGCCCAGGACTTAGATTGAATATGGGCCGATCTGACTATCACGGATGTCCGATAGTGTTTGAATTTTAAATGTTTTTTTAAAAATACAAATCACTTGAAATTTTAGGCGTGTGTTCTTTAAAAATAGGCATAAATCTATGAAAAATATCAAAAAAAAAAATTATATGAAATAAATTGACCAAAATACCCTCAAAATGTTTTGGGGGGTATTTTGGTGGATTTGTTTTTCATGAATTATTTTTTTTATATTTTTATTAGGTGCGCCTTTATGATAAGAACGCATACCTAAATTTTCAAGTGATTTGGATTTGTATAAAAGAAAATTAAAATTCAAACACTATTAGACATTCGAGAGCATCAAATCAGTCAGAGAATTGCCCAGAATCTAGGCCATTCGCGTATGGGCATATAGCAGTGTATATATATATATATATATATATATATCCTGTCAGCTTACGGGCTGATAGCTAAAGTGTCAGCCAATGGTCCAGATTTAATCTGAGCCGATCTGACGATCACGACCTCATTTCGTGTTTGAATTTTCATGTTTTTTTTTTATAAATCCAAATCACTTGAAATTTGGATTGTCTATTCTTCAAAAATATAATAATCTAATAAAAATATAAAAATAATAATTTTTAAAATATAAATTAACCAAAATACCCCTGAAATGTTTGTAATACATTTTTTAAATTCAAAAAAATAAAGAATTTGGTTTGTAATACATTTTTTAATATACTTTATATTATGCTAAAGATTAAAAATTGTTTTCATCATTAATACTCACTTTTATATATTCCCGTCTTTTTCATAAAATTTTAAAAATATCCCTAAGCACAAATTAATTCGTTAAAATTTATTTTTTTCATTAATTTTCAACTTCATTTGAATGTATTTTTGTTTTGATCATTCTTTATCTGCTTTTCATATTTTGGTAGTTTTTTTTTTATATCTTTTCTATTTTTTTTCTAACACTTTTTTTACCGCCTGGGACTTGCCCGGTTAGAATGGTTGACTCGGCGAGTTTACCTGTTAGGTCAATTAAACCGCTTCCAGACGCATTCTGATTCACCGTTCCAGTTCGATTTTGCAAACACTAACTCCTGCTCACCTTATTACTTATTAGCGCCACACCTAAATTTTTTTAAATGTATTCATTTCAAATTCTAACATTTATTATCTTGTCATTCATCCATCTCAACATCCTCATCTCTGTTATACTCATTTTATATATATATTGTTTACAAGTGCATAATGAGTACAATTAGACTTCTTTTTTTTTAATTTAGGTTAATGTATGGGCTGAAGAGGTTAAGTTTCTATAGTTTGGGTTCCTAAAAGTAATCTTAGAAGCATAAAATCTTTGGGCTTTTGGACCGACCCAAAATGCGATGCAGTGAAGAGGACGTTTAAGAGGCCAAAAACTTCAATTTTAAATAAAGAAAAAGGTGTTTTATGTATCGTGGGACGCATGACTACATGAGCGCCGGCGGCATCATACATACATCCATCATAAAGATGGATTTAGAGTGGTGATCCTTTCTTAGAAGAGATAAGAATCAATGGCCTCTAAATGATTTTCAAAAAATTGTTATTGTTCGTTTTTAAATTTTATTTTTTACACATTAATGAACTCCACGTTAGAGATTTTTTTTTGTTTGGGCAATTCAGTGGGGATGACGAGCCTCTATACGTTTTTTTAAATCATTAGTGGTTTTTTAATGCATTAGGCGAGAATGGAAGCCTAGACCTTAGTTGAGCACATGTAATGCTTTCATTAAGAACCCAACCCCATTATCAAATAAATGTCCTCTAAATAAATGTCATCCACAGCAAAATTGCAAGTCACCTCACCCTTTATTCCGTGTAGGACTGCGAATAGATAGGGCCGAGCCTGGTAGATTAGAAGAGAAGAAATGAATTTTTTTTAGATGTTTTTTTTCCTAAGAAAAGTGTGATAATTTTAAGATTAAAGAGATGGCCTAAAAGGCGTGCTCCTCTTTCTTTCTTTTTTTTCATTTTTTTTTTATAGCCAAATCGATTTTTCTTTTCTAAAAAAAATGCCAAATTATGCTGATTTAAAACTTGACAATTAAAAATCGCCTTAGAGAGGCTAGCGGATTAGATCATTGTTTGCAAAATCACCCGATCCCACCACTAGACACCAAGTTAGATCTGGCCGGTTCCGATTTTGGACGGTTAGGGTGATCAACCGGTATTTAAAAAAAATTTCTAAAAAATGTATATAAATTCCAAAAAATGCATTTTAAAATATTTTTTGCATTATAGTAAAGATTAAAAATTGTTTTTGTCATTAATACTCACTTTTATATTTTCCCATCTTTTTTAAAAAAATTTAAAAATAGTTATTGGAAAATATAAAACGGATTGAAATCTATTTTTTTCATTAATTTTCAACTTCATTTGAATGTGTTTTGTTTTAATCATTCCTTATATGATTTTCATATTTTAGTAGATTTTTATTTATTTATTCAACACTTTTTTGACCGCCCGAGACTTGCCCGGTTAGAGCGGTTGAATCAGCTAGTTTACTGGTTAGAACGGTTAACCACTTCAAGGGCCATGTCCGGTTAACAGTTCCGATTCGATCTTGCGAACAATGGATTAGGTTGATAACAATAAGGTTTACCTCAATGGATAAGGCTAAACCACAGCTTATATCCAACGTATGAGTTGTGAGTGATTATAGCGTGGCTTACTCATGATGGCAATCTTTTTTTCATTTTCGTTTTTGAATTTTCAGATAGAAAAAATAAAACAAAAGGAAAAGAAAAAAAAAAAAAAAACCTTTAAAAAAAAAACTCAAAGGAAAGAACTAAACAAAAAATGATGACTGGGAAGAGTTCCAGAGTGATCCCGAGCAAAACCCTTTCTAAATGCATGCTCACAACCCTGTCCGGGAGAACTCATTAAAGCCTATTTGCTGTTATAGAGAGAGGTTAACGAATCAGATAAAGCCTTTCTTTCTAATTGTTGGATTTTTTAATTTTTTTTTCAAAGAGCAAGCGTCTTAAAACTGTGAAGAACGTGAATGCTTAAACAGTCATGTTACCCTCGTTTACCCCTCATTAATCCTTACAACTTGTTCAATTTTGTTCTCTTATTCCTCTTGTGTTTAAACCAGTGGTTTAAAAAACAAATCGGTGCCTCGAATCGGGCACCTCAAAAACCCATCTAGATCAGTGAATCGGTGTTTTGGATCAGGAATCGACCGAAACGATCGAATTCTGTCTTTAAAAAAATCTAAAAAAAATGTTAAAAGTCATTATAAATGTTGTTTTTTAGGAATCCAATAAGAAATAGGAGTACTACATTAATAACTTTCATTTTTTTGCATCAATATAAAAATATTGAGATGTTCTTTCCTTTTATAAACTACTGTTAACCATTAAATTTACATCATACAAAAAGAGAAATATAAAATTATCATAGATGAAGTATATAATCATATATAGACTACAATAAAGTATATAATTCGTAAAATACGACCTAATACT